GCCCCCCCCGGCCCGCCGCGGCAGCCCCGCTCGGCAGGCGGTGCTCGGTGCGGCTGCGCCGCGGGCTCAGGCCCCTGCCGGGATGGGCGGCGGGACGTGGCTTGGGACAGGACGGGACGGGATGGGGGCGGGACGGGATGGGTAGGGATAGAGGGATGGGATGGGATGGAGGATGGGACAGGATGCAGTGGAGGACAGGGTGAGACAGGGTGAGGGATGGGTGGGGATGGGACGGAGGATCGGATGGGCTGAGGGATGGGACGGAGGATGGGACAGGATGAGGGGTGGGAGGGGCTGAAGGATGGGATGGAGGATGGGATGGGATGAGGGAGATGGAGGATGGGATTGGATGAGGGGTGGAGGACAAGATGGGTGAGGGATGGGATGGGACACGGCAGGATGGGATGCGATGGAGGATGGGATGGGACAGGATGGGATGGGACAGGATGGGATGGGACAGGATGGGATGGGATGCAATGGAGGATGAGATGGGTTGGGATGGAGGACAGAACAGGAAGGGATGGAGGACAGGATGGTATAGGAGGGAATGGGATATGATGGAGGATGGAATAGGATGGGGGCTTCATGGGCCTGCCCAGTACTGTCCACTCCTTAACGCACCACCTAGCCATAACCTGGAGATGAAGCACCTGCCCGGTGCTGACCCCGAGCTCGTGCTCCTCAGCCACCGATACGAGGAGCTGGAGGTGAGCAGGCAGCGCAGCAGCCGCCACCGCAGCAGGGTCTGGGATGGTCGGTGCCCCACAGGCACCAGGCTGCAATCCCTGTTTGCGTGCAGAGAATCCCCCTGAGCGACATGACCCGGGAGGAGATCAACCAGCTGGTGCAGGAGCTGGGCTTCTACCGCAAGGAGACACCTGATGCCCCCGTGCCTGAGGAGTTCCAGTTTGCCCCTGCCAGGCCTCTGCCCACCCTGCCACCCCGCCAAGGTCCCACCGCTGATGGCCAGACCCTACCCAAACGCGACAAGGGAGAACACCCAGACCTCTAGCAAGGGGTGCTGCACTCGGGAGAGGGTCCTGCAGCCAGTTCCCAGTGCACAGGGACGAGGGCATGACAGCAGCTAGGGACGGTGCCACAGGGTGGTGAAGGTGCCCCCGCTGTTGCTTCGTGCTGTGTAGCCTCTGCTCTGAGGATGCTCTGAGCAGCTCCAGCCTGGAGCAGGGGCTTCCTGGGCATTGTGGACATCCCAGGGGTCCCATGTGCCTGTCGTTGCCCTCCCTCCCCCGCAGCCTGGCATCCCTAGCTGGTTGGGAGGAGCAGTGTTCTTTCTGCTCCCTCACCATGCGCCGAGGTCTAGCTGATTCCCAGCACTGGGCAGCGGTATCCTACCTGCATGGGACAGGATGAAGCCCTCAGCAGAAAGCCCCAGGTGCTGAGAGTAGATGTGCTGAGTCCCGGAGGTGGGAGAGCTGCCCCCAGGGAGGTATGGCTTTACACCCCAGCAGGGTTGTCTCTTATCGAGCCCCCAGTAAAGCCCTTGTATACAAAAACTGTGTCGTCTTTCCAGGGAGGACTTGGTGGGGCATGTCCCGCACCGCTCTGCACTGGGTGCCGGGAGGAGGTGGGTGCCCCAGAGCCACTCACGGAGGTGGGAGGGGATGGCAAAGTCACAGCCACCGCTGCCAAGCTGCCAAACCATCTCATGGACCAACCTGTTCCTGTGCCACCCCCTCCCCAGCACGATGGATGGAGCACCATGGCTTGGGATGAGCTGCTCTCATGGGGCACAGGGGGATGGGTGCGAGCCCATGAGTCGGTCCTGCATTGCTGAGCTGAAGCTCAATGGCTGCACTGGCCTGGCAGGGACGTCTGGTCCTCAGCTGTGGAAGGGAGCAGGACACAGCTGTGCCATCTGCAGACCTGGCTCTATGCAGCCTCGGTGGCAGCATGGGGTCTTCTCCCCATACCAGGCCTGGGCCTGGCAGGGGGCAGTGAACCAACAGCCCTTGGTCAGGGGATGCTGATGGTGCCCCTGGGCTCCGAGCATCATCCCTGAGCAGGAGGAGCATCACGTGCCCCACGTCTCCCCCCGGGACAGGTGAGCAGTGGGTCTGCAGGCAGAGGAGTCCTGGAACGGGCAGGGCTGCCAGCACTCTGCCCGGGAAGGGGGTCGGCGTGCACTGTACTGGTGGCATGAAGCAGTGGTGCGGCCAGGGAGAACGACCCAAGGCAGAGGCATCACCCTATAGAATAAACCTTTATTGTCCGGCTGGTGTTGGTACACGTGTCAACGCGGGTGTAGAGACAGTGATGGAGGGGTGAGCGGCGCTGAGCACATGGTGCCCCGAGCTGGGCTGAGGAGGAGAGCAGGGGCTGCTTTCCCAGCTCACTCCTTGGGCCCCTCACTCACCTGGGACCCCTCGCCTCCCTGCCCGCTCCCCAGCACACGGGTGCTGCAGCCCCCCCCATGTGGAAGCGCCCCAGGGTGCATATGTGCAGTGGGAAGCAGGGTGTCAGCACGGGGCTGTGGAGCCATCCCCAGGGAGGTGGCACCAAGCAGGGCCTGCAGTGGGCAGAGGGGCTTCCTCGCAGGGGGGCAAGGAGAACCACTCACGGGTGCACTGCCTGTGCAATGCACCACAACCTGGGCTGGGCTGCACAACCCCGCTCAGCCACCAACCCACATCAGCTCTGGGCCCAAGGGCGCAGCCATGCCCAGGCCTCCCCGGGGATGCAGGGGTGCTGCCCGCAGGACAAACAACTCCTGGAGAACAAATAACTTAACACGCTGGAGCGCGGGAGGCGAGCCAAGCTGGGGAGCATCCCTGGCAGCACCTGCCTGGCCCTGCCTTGCCCTGCCCATGGGGTCAGCCTGCAGCTGGCCGGGGCAGAGGGAGCTCCAGTGAGGCAGAGGTGCAAGGCTGCCCCAGTGGCAGAGCCCCCCCGTCCCCAGCGCTGGTCCCGTGGCCCCCCGGACCCTCCTGGGGCAGGCAGCTCCCCTGCCCGCCGGCAGCCCTGAGGGCAGGGGGCAGTGGGGTGGCAGGCAGGGCAGGCTCTAGCACTCTTTCTGCCGCATGCGCAACTCGTGGCGACGCAGGTGGTTGTAGAGGGACTGGACATAGGTGAAGACGCACTTGGAGTCCGGCTTCTTCCCCATGATCATCATGTCTTCCACCTCCACCAGGGGCACGCAGTCCACCAGCGTCCTGTGGAGACGCAGCCCTCAGCGCAGCCCCAGGTGGGCTGCCCCGCCATGGGGGCTGGGACAGGGGACCCATGCTGCCCAGGGCTGGCTGGCACTGGACACTGCTGCCCTCAGCCCCACTCAGCTCCTGCCTAGCCCTCAGTACCCACAGTCCTGCCTTTCCTGGCACTGGGAAGAGTGCACGCTGCCTGCAACAGGGGCTGGCTGCCTGTCTGCCTGCACCCCTTGCCACCCTGGTGCTCTCTGCCCCAGCTTTTGGTGCTGGCAGTCAACCCCCGCTCAGGCTGTGCCAACTCTCCTCCTCTTCCTCCAGCTGATGCTGGTGTGTTGTAGGGAGAGACCTGCCTGCCCACGTGTCTGTGCTGTGCCCCTGCCCCAAACGCCACCAGCTAGTCCAGAGAAAGCAGGGGGGGTCCTGGTCACATGCTGCCCATCACTCCTGCTGCAATCCCTGGCCCTGCTCTCTGGTCAGGTGTGCCAGCCCGGTTCCCACCCTTGTCCTGGACTGGAACCTGGGGGGCTGCCTGCCCCAGGCACAGCACAGCACCACTGGTGAGGTGGGCACTGCCCAGCTTCAAGCAGCTCAGCGCTGGCCTGTGCCTACCACCTCCTAGCCCAGGCCCCAGCGCCATGCTGGGGTCCATGCAGGGCCCTGGTCTAGTAGGTGCCAACCTTGGGGGGTCCTGGCAGAGCAGCCATGGCTGTCCCCGCCATCACTGCAGCCTCTGGCCTCTGCCACTGCCCCTTCACTGGGGTGGCAGCCTTGCCCTCACTCTGCCTGCACCACCCACCCAGCTCCCTGGGCTGCAGGCGCTATCTCTCTCCCCAAGCTGGGGCTCCCTGGACAGCCAGGGAGCTCCAGCTTGAGGGGGCTGCCAGCACAGTTGGGGCAGGCACTGTGACAG